AAGTGATCCTCCTTAAATATCATGTTTAACTCAGTGTTTAAGCTTTAACAGCTATAATATGCAGCTGCCGTGTTAAAAATTAGCAGCTGCATTGAGAGTGCACCGAGTGGTAAAATAAACGCGTTTTATGATCAATAGTTTTCCACCAGCACTTATTACCACAATAAACTTTTATATTCCTGATAGCTTTCCTCTATAACAACCTGTTCCTCCTGACTAGAGTGGCCGACCGGTGGTGTGGAGGAATAACAAGTCAAACACCTCCTTTTACAGGAAAGAGTCTGGGTTAGCAAAGACGGCTGGTAACCACCATCACAGCACCGTTACTATTTATGGTGGAGGTTTTGGGTTTTGTCAAATCAATTTAAACCGATAACGAATGGTTACGTCAGACTTGTCTCTTGAACAAACCGACAGTTTGGACCGATGCCGAAGACGCCTCTCTGTGGAGAATTTCGAGATATAGTGACACTGAAAACGGGCGACCCTCTGGGACACATCGCACCTCGTCTTCAGTGAGTCGTTACAATCAGGGTGTTGGAACGAGGCGTCTTCCTTGGAAATCCTTCACAGCCTCCTGTATAACTCTACCAAACAAACCCAGGTGATGTCGGGTTGCACTTTGTCGCCTTGCTTCTCGGTGATGTAACCGTGGAACACTCTGTTGTTAGAAGTCTGTAACTGTGCTGGTATTTCTGGTTCTGACAGTTGCCACGGACACAAAGGTAAACCAACTCACTGTTTAATCTCAACACTCGGGGTAACGCCTGAAAACTGTAAGATGGTCGGTCAAGTTCAACCAGGACGTTTTACAGATGTTCACAGATGTATACCTTCATCGACGAGCCTTTGTGTTGCCGAGTTTTAAGGGCAGATTGGTGCAGTTTAGTCAATGATGTGGGTATTTTACTAGATTGTAGTGGTACCAGGAAACCTAAAGGTGAAGTTCTTACATTCTGGACATGAGCTTTGGGGAGTGACCAAAACAGTGGTCAACATGAATTTACCTCAACTGGGCAACACCTAAGGTCTTCCAAAGGTGTTCCATCTGGCCGAAAAACACCTTGACATCCCTAAAGCAAAGGTGGAAGGTGTGGTTTGGTAAAAGAATGTCTGGCTACCTTATTAGCCTCTTGCTACCACAACATGGACCCACTGAAGGTACCAGAAATTGATGGTTCTCATTTTATTTTCCACCTAAGATTGGCTAACCTTGGGTTTTCGGACTTTTGCGTGAAGAGAAGAAACCAGAACATCCCTTTAAATATGACAAAAATTCACAATACCTATGGTTCCGGGTGGACAGGGCATCTTGGCCAACACGCCCTGCTTGGTCTTGGGCCAGGAGACGTCCATCATCACCAGGGGGTTGCAGTACTCCACCCGGATGTTGGGCAGCTTGGACGAAGGCGGCGCCCTGAAGTCGTCTTCCGGATCCAGACCCTCCACCAGCGTCTGGACTGGCGGCGCCACCGTCGTCGTGGTCCGCGGCCACTGGGCCAGGGCGGTGGTCGTGGAGGGGGCCTTGGTGGTGGTGGTCCTGCTGGTGGTGGTCGTCATGGTAACGGTGGTAGGTCTGGTGGTGGTCCTCGTGGTCGTGGTCGTGGTGTCCATGTACACCATCACAGAGGAGGAGGTTTCTGGTAAAGAAGACAGAGAGAACCAATTAAATGCTGTAAAAAGAGGATTGAAGGCTTTCTTTTTGCAATCATTTGTGTCTGAAATGGAGATTTATCTCAGTGCAGCTGAAAAAACATACAGGTACAGATTACAGTTTTTAAGCCAACATTATTTACAGTTGCGCCCTGTTTTTCTTTTTCTTCTTCTTTTTTTGTTTTTTTTTACAGGTAACATGGAACTTGATTTTTGATTTTTTGTGTGAATTTACTAGATATTATCTGTAACTTCAAAAAAAGGAAAATTGTTAAATGACATAATAATAATAACGTTAAAAAAATCAAACATAATAAATCATGTAAATTAGTTTTTGTTTTGTTTTGGGTTTTTTTTTTAGATTGTACTAGATATCTGTATTTTTTTCCAAAAGGTAAAATATGTAAAATAACAACAATAATAAAAAATAAAATTATTTTAACTCTTTTTTAGTAGTTAAAGTATAAATAATTATTCTTCCAAACAACTACAAATTAAATATTTGCTGCTATTTTTGCTAATACACTGAAAAACAGTGTAAATTTTACAGATTTTTGAGTTGATTTAAAAAATAAAATAAAATAACATTTTAAAGTCAAAATGTAAATTAATACTTTCCCCCATGACTTTACAACATATAGTTGAAATTGAGAAAACAGGGGAATCTGCAAAATACCAGTTTAAAAATGTTACTATTATTATTATTGTTGCTATTTTATTTTGTTTTATTTTATTTTATTTATTCATTTATTTATTTTTCCCATTTTCCAGTTCTTCATACACCTAATTTAATGCTTTCAAGTGATGGCAAATGGTATTATGTAATAATTATTTTATTTTTTAAACAAGCAGTAAAAATAATGTAATTTTATTGTCCAACACTGTAAAACATTGAGCTAAAGACGACCAGGAACCCGAGCTGACATGACGCCACACTTCCTCACTGTACAGAGTCTCATGGATCGGTGAGTGATGTCGGAGTGTATGCTCATTGTTGAGTCGATTACTAAGAGATGTGAGCTGGAAAATGTTTTTTAAAAAAGCATGAGGGTTCTATTCATCCCTGCTTCCCATGCGTCAGGAGACCGTTCAAACAGGATCACTTGGATCTGGCAGGTCTGACTTACATGCATGGTTTCTAGTTTGGGACCCCCGCCGGCCGACAAACTTCCAGCTGTGCAGCCTAAATGCAGCTGTTGACGGGGGCACATCTCCACCAGTCGATACCCGGGGTTTGTAGCTACGTGCTATCTGGGGGGGGGTCAACCAGGACAAACTGTAAACCTGCTTCCTGGATGCCAGTCCTCCCCGTGGTTACGCTCCGGGAGGCGTTCGCTAACGACACCGTTTACCTGAGCTGTTAGGGGGCCGTCGCAGCTTCAGCACCTTGGAGATCCCTCCATCATGCCATCTGGTCACCCGTTTTAACCCCTTTTAACTCCTTCTCGTGTCCCTGATTGGAAATAAATTCATTTAGCTACAGGCTTTTTATGAGCGTCTGGCCACATGGGGGAGGTCAGACTTCATGATGCATGTTTCGGAAGCACAAAGGAGTCCAGTGGAATATTTTAATCTAGCAACGCCGCTCTGCATCACACGTGTACGCTGTTATTTTGGCACAATGATCCGTCAAAACGCCGACATTTCTGCATGTCATGATCTTATTACTGTTGGGAGGCAGACGGCTCGTCGCGGTCTCCCTTTAAATAAATGAGAGAGCACTTCCACACTGACGCACAAACCATTTGGACCAACGGAAAAAAAATGCAATTTGGTCTAGTTGACGTTTCCGCCTAATGCAGAGATACAATCAGAATGACAGAAGTGACAAATGGTCCTAATCTTTGCATGAAAGGGGAGCAAAACAAAATTTAATGAGGGTCGATTTTTAGGCTGGCAGGTGTAATGGACGTCACGCGCCCGCAGATAGCAGACATCGCCGGCCAAATCCAGATTCAATTTGCAATCGGACGACTTCTCTGTATGGTAAATTTGAAAGAAGTAAAATAAGACGGCATAAATTAGCGGCGCTGTTCGGGACGCCGAGGCTCCCGGAGGCTGTAATGACACCCGACGACTATCAGCAGTCGATGCATTCAAACGCTTAACAGGGTTCAGCGACAGCCGAGCGTTGATTAAATAGTTTGTCGGCGCAGCGAGAGTTCCTGGCTGATTGAGTATTTGTTTTCTTTTGCTAACAAAAGAGTTTTTTTTTTCTTTTTTTTAAAGATCTGCAGGTATCTTGGACGCTCCTGTGGAGGCACTCCATCAGTGAAGTGGAACTATAACAAGAGTCTCATTGAATTACAATGTGATCTAAGGGCACAGGGAGGCTTTTTTTAATCCCCGACTCTCTGGTAACTTCAGAAACGTCTCTTGCATCAACCGGCGGAAAAAAAAAAAACTGGAGAGGATGCAGTCACACAAGGATAAACTGACACCGCCTCTAAAATAAAAAATCACATGAATGCTCGACTAGCTATTTAGCATTCCCACCATTTACATTCTATCACCGCTATTAAACATCACCATCAATCCACTAACGATCCCGAGAACAGGAGGGTGAAATATCTCCAAGGGCGCCGCTCGATTTGTTTGATTATTTATGATCGAGCGTATTTGGGAGGAGAAATGATGATAACCTCAAACATGACAAACCAAACCTCGGCCGCAAAAAGGGGAAAGTGGCATCAGTCTCCGGATAATTGAAATCAGCTGCATATAGTAAAAAAGGACGCCGTTAGAGCACCTGATGGAAATCCGACGGTGGATGCTCGCGTGGAGGTCAGCGGAGGTCACGGCTCCGGATAAGCCGGCGGCGGAACAGACGTGCGAGTCAGGAAACTGGAATGAGTGTCGTGGTCAGGACGGCTGATGCAGCACTGATTGTGACTGTGACAGATTTATATTTTTTGCTGAGGGAGTTTAGCTGCCAATAAATGCACACTAATACACAGCGACCTGCTTTTTTTTTTTATTTTTTATGACACTCGGTGACAATTTTGCTAACCGAGGCGACAGAATACATTAGACTTGAAAGGATCAGTGACAGGCAGCTATATTGTCCTTTTGCTGAATAAATATAGGAAGCGATACTTTCTTCCTCGACAAAAAACTGAATCCATGAGTCATGCATCGCTCGACAGACTGTATAGAAAAGACAGCAAAGCAGAAGCACCTTAAATTTGTATTCTTTTAACCACCAGCAGGGGGCGACTCCTCCAATAGCAAAAACAACCTCAACTAACCCGACTTCTCATTTGATTTGTGACCTCGGTGAACACTTTCCAACTAACTTTATGGTCTCAGCTGCTCATTTAAAGACTCTTTAAATGCAGTGTTGTGTTTGTTTTGTAAAATATTCACAGTAAAATCAGGTGCAGCCACCTTGTGACACTGGTTGCGAGATAACCGTCGGTTTCATTAGCAGAAAAACAAACCACTTTTTCAGGCTGAGCTTCATGTGAACAAACCCAATGCTAGTCTAGTCATCATCCCAACATGACCAACATCCAAATCACAGGAGCTGCAATTTTTTTTCCAGGGTAATGGTGAAGAATGGAACAAAACACCTTCATAAAACTAGCGATGTGGTGTTACAGAGATGCTCATAGCTACAAATCATATCCTCCAGACATACAGGGGACATACTTGTTGGGTACAGACGGCTGCAAAAATCACATCATCCTTTTTTATATCAAGTTCAGGGAAGAAGAAATGCAAGAATCACCATCCCCGGTAAAATCGTGACTCAGAAATAAATTCTTTTTTTACGAATTGTTCAAACTCTGGTCGATGTTTACATCGAAAAACGGCGTCAAATTCTTCAATAGGTCTTTTGCTAAACATGTAGGTGCACGCTGGTCTGCTTAAAATGATTTAATGTGCTGGAAATTAGTAGTTTTGAATTTTTATTTTGGCTAATAATGCTAGCAGGCACAGTACGCTCAGTGCACTGTGGCTGATTTATTCCACTAACAACAGTAGGTAGGGACAATTTCAGCCAACCAAGATGCTATTTGGTTGTCTGCAGCTGTAATTTGGGCAGTTTTGACATAAAAAAGTCTAAAAAAAACTACAGAAATGCATGCAAATTTGCAAAATGGCTGCAAAACTAGCACCACTGGCCGCAACACCTGCATTAAGTCTAACTCTAATAGAGCAAATCCGGTTAATTTAGAAGGAAGTTTGCACAGTTCACTCATTAAACACCCAGTTTGCAGTGACTGAGAACAACATGTTGATTGTTTGTCTGTTAAAATAACTTTTAAGGATGAAAGTCGTCGCATCTCCTCCCTGGAAGCTGACGGTATAACACAGGACAGAACAGAGGAATACGACTCGAGGAATAAAAACGAATCGCCATCACGGCACGAGGTTAATTCAAAGTCACCTGGAATCATGTCCAGAATGTAATTCGACGCTTCCATTTGATCCCGTTGAAATTATTTTCTCACAGTGTTCCGTCGGCACAGTTAAATACGGGAGAAGAGAGTGTCCTTGAGCAAACTTAAATATCTTTTTCCATGAGATGAGCACAAGAAGGAAGAAAAAAAAAAAAAGAAAACAGAGAGAAGCCAGCAGCAGCAGTAGCAGCAGCAGACAGCAGCCACAGTCTGCAGGCACTATCGCCTTGGAGACAACACAAGGACATTTTGTTTTGCTTTTGCCAGCTTTCCCCATCTATCCAAAGGGACGGAAGAAAAAAAAAGAAAAGAAAAGAAAAGAAAAGAAAAGAAGGCGAGCTCAAGAGAAGCAGCGAGGTGAACAGGTCTTTGGTACGCCCCGAGGAGCTACTGGGTGACCTTACAGGGAGATTTGAATGTCTGACACATTTTGGGTTGAGAGTTTTTATAATTGGCTGAAAAACACAACAACAGAGCCGCACTGCAGGACGCTGCTGCTGCTGCTGCTGCTGCTGCTGGCGGCATCGTCCTCCTCACACCGGCGTTTATTTAGACGTTGCACAACTACGAAAGGAAAAAAA